TCCTACTCTGAATTTCTAATTCTTTAATTTTTATCTCGTGTTCTCTCTCTAATTGTCTTTCCCGAAATTCCATCTCTTTTAATCGGTCTTTAGCCGCATCTGCCTCTAACTTACACTTTTCTAGCTGCAGCTCCCATTTCCTTTAACTTAATTTGAGCCTGCATGTTCTTAATAATTTCATCAGATTCTTCTGACACCCTATTTCTCCTTTTAGGACCCATATTAACTTCTGGTATTTCTTTTACAGCTTTACCCATACAACACATAAATAACACTTAATTTTACAGGCAAACATACATATTTCACTACTACTGAATACTACCATTATTCATTTAGCAAACATTATCATTAGTGAACACAATCATGAATACCTTTCTCATATTACACTATTAACATATATTTCATTAACATATTTTCCATATATTGTTAACACATAAATACCAAAAATTATATTAGCTTTTGAATTAGTACAAAAAAAAAAATAGTTCTGAATACTTTGGCCTTACGCCGTAATACCTTACATATTCTGGAAATGAAACAAACATTTACTTATTGTTCTCAAATCATTAAACTAATTAATTTTTAATCAACCTATTAACTTTAATGACTAAAACATTTTGCCAAAACACGGCAACAACAAAAATAGATAATTTCTACCTTAATTAGTAACATGAGCACACCATTAAATGTTTCGAAATTACTGCTGACATATTTTTGAATTATTTTAACATTCATTTAGCATACATTATCTCCTTAATAACAAAATTAATCATAATTCCTTATTTGCATATAAAATATACTTTCTAAGTGTCTACTGGCTTTAACGCCTGGCATTCTCATCATGTTATTAAACCGACATTAACACAATTTTAATTTTCTCCGTTACTATAGTAATTATAGGGAGGGAGCTCTCTTCATTTATATATTGTGCTTCCCAAGAAATTAAGAGGGACTTACCTTTGATCCCGATAGTAGAAAATGACGAGTTGTGCTCAATTCTGTACAATTTCCTCATCGCGCTGCATAACACTTCACTTAATAATATCACCACGGTAATACTGATGATCACTTTTACCATCCACTGTTTTCAACACTGCACGAACATTTCAATTAATAATATCACCACGGTAATACGGATGATGATCACTTTTACCAGCCACTGTTTCAACACTGCACGAACATTTCACTTAATAATATCACCACGGTAATACTGATGATCACTTTTCACACACGACGAGGTTTCATACACCCTTTCGTTTATTTGCACGTGTAGGCTTACGCGTGCCACTTTCCGTCTTTCATGACCATCTTTTGTCATCTTCCTTGCTTTCGTGACTTATTTCCTTCATTTAAACCACGTTCACTCAAATCACTTTTTACGATCTTACTTCCTTCGTATTTTTGGTGATTTCTCTTTTCCCACTATCCTGTAGGGTTGCGCCATTTGTCATGCCTCGCGCTCGTTCAAACACGAGGTGGGTTCTTCTGTGTAAGCTTACCATAGTGGGAAAATAACACTTGTCCGCTTTGACATTTTCTTCACTAATTTATTACACAAACTGCACTATGGATACACCATACAACGAGTACACTGTAAAATAAACTATATACAATATATATATACAAGGCGCGCAAAAAAAAAAATAAAACATATTTCTTTTCTCTACGTTCTCACACGGCATGCTCGCCGGTCCAACTCCCAGTACCCTCTCCGTCCAGTCTTTCTTCCCCCCACCAGCCTGAAACGACCGGTTTTTCCGGGGTAAGTCACTTCCGTTCTTCGTCTTTCATCAGGGGAAGGAACTTCACAGAATTAGACACATTTTAATTCCTAACAGTAAAGAAAAAAAGCTTAGAATTACAAGCATCAAGCATCAAACTTTTTATTGTTACCTATATTTGCTGCCACTCTAGAAAAACTAAACTTTGCGATAATAAAGATAATATTATATGGTGAGAGAGCTCTTAGAAAGGACACAAAAAAGCGAAAGTATAATAAGAGAAAAAGAAGACTGCAAACAAATGAAATAAAGAAAGTTTATTAAATGCATTAATTTGCACGTACGGTAACCCGCAGTTACACAAACGCACCCTTGTGCATTTGTAACATAGCTAGTAATTAAAGGCAGAAACGTATGCAGAAAAAATCCCGATGTCTCAACCAGCGGCTGAGTGGTGAAAGCAAATGAACATGGTAGTTCACTTCGGGATTCGAGTGACAGCGAACCGGCTGGCTGTATGTGCGTTTTCGTGAGTTTCCCTATGTGCAACATGGACACTAGCCAGTTTCTCTTAAAATGTCCTCCATAGTAGTAAAAATATCTCAGATAATGCCCAGTAAATGAGATAATACAAAAATACTCATACAATATTAAAATATTTAAATGCCTAAGAGAATCGTATTACCTACTTCAGTAATAAAATTAAAAGTAGTAAAATTTATAAGATATTGTACAGTAAATGAGTTAATATTAATGAATCGGTAAAGATATAGTTACAACATCTTAACAGAGTAAGAAGAACACGAGGATATTACATGATACTGTTTCCGAAGAGACATTTAATCCAGAACGTTAAAAGTGGAATTGAGTATATCGTACACATTTAAGAGCAAAAGTATTTTTGAATGTATTATCTACCCATGCTATTACATTTGCTTCCGCAAGGTTGAGGAGACGGTGATTGGGGTGTTTGGAATTCAAAAGATAATAGTTGGGGTTTCCAACTATTGCACAAGCACAATAGTTAGTAACAGGAAGACCGAATCGTTGGAAGTAATCCGTAAATGAGCCATGATAGTTTAAATCCCGTGAAAAGTACGAAGAGCTACTGATCAGCTGTTTTCTAACTTCGGAGAAAAATTTCTGTGCCTTTCTTTGTGTTGTTTCAGTGTCCAGAAAAACGTTACTATTGATTGACACGTTTTCTTATTCAGCATAGCCTTTACATCCGAAACTAGAAGTGGTACGTCTAGTATGTGTGCTTGGGGCTCGGTGACTGCTCTTTTAGTGATTATATAATATATATATTCTTTTAGTGATTATTTCTTTTAGTGATTATATATTCTCGGTCATTTCAGTATGAAATAGAACACAATGCAATTTGGGCCTAATGCTGGCCAGCATTATTAATCATTTATTTCTGGATTTTCCTTATCACAATATTTTTGCTTTTGTGAATTACGGTTGTCTGCAGACAACACGCTGTGTCTGTGTATGCAAATCTCAAGTGCCGTTACTACAGGATCTGGTCTAGTGTAACGAATTCCTTTTTCTGAGGGAACGCGGTGGGCATGATAATAATTCCCTTGCTTTAGATCACCATGCTTGGAATTTTCTTTAAAATTGTCGGTCGGAAGTTTGTGTACTGGAAAGAACTTTATGCAGACTTCAGAAAGGATCACAGACCTCTGTCCGTCCTCTGCGGAACATTTTCCCCGTCGTGGGTGTAGTACTATTGAGAGGGAGGTTGGAATTAAAAAAGGGAAAGAAACGGAAGCAGAAGTTTTTTCTATTTTCTGTAGGAACAGTTGTATTTCAAAAATGTTTTAATTTAACTACTGTATATTTTTCTGTGTACAATAAGAAGCTATAGTATCTTATAAACGAATGCATATCATTTAGTTGGCGACCTTACAGTGATCATACCAAAATTGTCACTTTTTAATCTTTCAATGCAATGACTGCAACTGTTGACTTTAAAAGCTTTGAATCTTCCTCATTTCGTTACGCTTATATATATATATATATATATATATGTATATATATGTATATGTATATATATGTATATATATGTATATATATATATATATATAAATTATGTATATATATATATCTATCTATATATATATACATAATTTTTAATCCAGTACAGTTTAGTACTAGATTAAAAATTAGTAATTATGATAAATTAGTAACTATAATTAGTAATACTGATAAAATAATCATGAAAAAGTAATTATGATACCCATTTTCTCAAATTATTCTTCCCATATTGTTACACACTTTGTATTTACTAATTAATTAATTAGATTTAATATGATTGTACAAATTAGCTATTTTTATTTCAAAACTTGTATCACTGGCATTACATAAAAATTTAAGGAAATAAGAAAAAGATCTAGCTAAATTTAATTGCTTACTCATTTATCAATTTTTCATTTCTTGAAAAAGATTTATAAAATGAAAGTTAAGTGGCTTAAAACGAGACTAATGAGATAGTGGCTTAAGCCACAATAGTTTCGGTATTATTTACGTCTTGCAAAATGTAATATTTGTTTGGATCCACTGTAGAAAATATGAAGCATTAAAGAAAAACTTGCTAAATAGACTGCATTCGAATCGGCATCATACAAAGCTCAAATTATATTAAAAGTAATTTGATTCCTATTTACTAACAGTTCTGGATTTGGATTATTTAATTACAGCAAAGTACTCGAAGGGACGAAATGCCTTCGTGAAAGGCTTTCTAAAAGAAACTTACTGTTATGCACGTTACACTTGGCGAAAACCACAAAAACGCCCATGCTGCCAGTCCGTTCCCTAGGATTCCATCTCCGGAACGAGCTACCAGTATTCTTCGGTCGCTGGTGGGCTTATTTGGTTAACATGATGGCTGAGATTATATTTTCTAGATTCATAACGCATTCTTATATAAATTGTAGGCAAAATGTGATTAATTATTTTTGGTAACATATTTATTCACTTTATCCTGCAAAATATACAAACGCAAACAGCAGTTATTCTTGGTTAACAGAATAACACACACAAATGATGTTCATGTTAGACACCTGTACAAATTAGGAAAAGGAGACACACGACTTTTGGCATTATAATCCGAAGCAGAAGTGTAATGAAGTGTTGTATTTGATCATAAGATTTAACGCAGAAAGTTACCCCTTTTTACAAATAATCGTTATTAAATGCTGGCATAATTTAATATTTTATATATTGCTATTATTAAATGCTAAATATCTATAATTCTATTGAAAAAAATCTCACCGTTGCTCAGTCTTTGGTGCTCCCGACGGTATCAATGAGAATAGTACCTTTTCTAGAAAGTCTAACCGATTTAACTCCTCTTGAATAGCTGAAAAACAGAAAGACAGCCCATATTACGCGTAGTCGGAAATTTTAACTTTAGTAATTCATAATCTGTATAGCAATTCTGTATTTTGTTGTCTACCTTCTATTCTCATACGTATAAAATGTAGCTAAAATATTAAATGCATACAAATATTATCATTTGTTTAAAGATAAAATATTTCTTATCTCCAAAGTTGCGCATGTTTCATCTATGAAGAGTTTTGTTATTTCAGAAGATGTGGTCTTAAGATTTTCTTTGTAAAATCCTGATAATTACACTAAAAGCATTTATACGCTCAATTTGAATTAGAATGCACACACGGCAAAAATTCGCGATGGAAATGCCCATATATGGTTGGTGCGCTAGCATTCGTATTTCGTAAAGAATTTTTAGAATCAATAGTTTCCATTTGGAATCAAATTATCAGAATTAACCGTACCGAAATGTGTTGTTTAAGCAGAGTTCTTTGAATGCATTTGGAAAAAGACATGCAGAAGTTTTTAATATACAAAGGTTAGCATAAATGATTCAGTCATTTTGAAAAGGTAATATTTTCAAAAGCATTGCGGGTACGCACATCAAAAATATATGAAAAGAACCACAAACTCACCAAGTTTCTTTCACTATTTCACCAAATTTCCAGGATAAGTGAAACGTTGCTTCATCGCTGAATATCATCTTGGTGGCGAAATCTTCGCCCTTCCAATGTTAAAGTTACGAACGTGATCCTTCGGCTTTAATATTTGCAAGAGCTACAATTAAATCGCAAAAGTTTCCTCACAGTTTTTGGTGGTATTCCGAACATCTGGCCAATTGTCAAGATGAACATCTGGACAACAGTGCTACAAAATGTATGGAATGAGCTCGATTATCGTTTAGACGTGTGTCGTGCCACCAAAGGGTCACATACTGAATATTTGTAGAGGATGTATAAACGTGGTGAGTTTGTGGTTCTTTTCATATATCTTTCATGTGTGTACGTAAAATGCTTTTGAAAATATAGCGTTTTGAAAGCGAATGAATCATTTATGCTAACCTTGTATATCTCATACAACTCAATGGAAGCAAATGAATAGGAATAAATTATACCAAGGTAATACACTATTTGAACATACCTTCCACATCCTTAATGTTCATGACAATTTCAGAGTCTTGCTCATCGTCTTCAGAGTAAGCAACGGCAACAGCGCTCGCCACTAGAAATACCCAAAATGCATTCATCTGAAAAGAACATAATATATGCAGTTTCTTTCTAAGGAATTCAATTTAAATAAAATGTTTATTTAGGTGAAAAAACAAGTAAAAAAATCAAAACCCAAAAACTAAAATCTGAAACACCAATAACCTAAAATATTTAAAATTCAGTTCTTTTTTGCATCATTTCTTTTTATATTAAAATATTTATCTCCGAATTTACAAATTTTAATTTTACCATAATACAAGTATGTAAAAATTTTAACATTATCTGCAAAATATTTAAATTATGTTATTTTTTTTATATACTTTCTGCAAAGTTAATGAATCTAGAATGAAAATGAATTTTTCATTGAAGTTAGGACGTCTATGCTAAAATTGCGTATACCATTTATTAATATGCTCTAAACCAGCGTTTCTTAAACTGTGTGTCGGGACCCCCAGGGAAGTCGCGGGACCTGCAGCAAGGGGTCGCCGAAAATTTAGCAATTTTGATATTCCTTTATCTTATTATAATAATTTTACAATTATTACAACAGATAAAGAGAAAAGGAAAACGTTTCGAAGCATTCTTTTTATAATTGAAATGTTCATTTTAATTGCTTTGGACGTGACTCTGTCATTTCGCACTTATTTAAAATTTTTACATTGTTCTATGTCTTAAAATTAGAAATTAAAGTTAATGACCTAAAACTGCAATAATATATTACAGTAAAGTGAAAAAACTGCCAGTTTCACACACGTGTGTGTGGGATTCACGAAATGCTTATGGGGGTCTCACAAAATTTTCGTAAATATTATGAGGTACTGGGGGTCGCGAAAGAATCTCAGTGATAAAAAGGGGCCGCGACTGAAAAAAGTTTAAGGAACCCTCTGTAAACTCAAAATCTCTCTCCTCAAATAATATTCTTTAGCTGTGCAAATATTTAGAAATTCTAGAAGTATATATATATATATATATATATATTTAACTCACGTCCTGTACTACAAAAGCTAAAAAATTCTGTAAATTAGCATACTGCTCCGAACAATATTTTTTAAATTATCAGGTTGTTAAATTCAGTCACAGCAGATCAAATAACCGAATACAGTTAAAACTAGATCTTTTTTTTTTTATTTTGACCTATCATCCAGTAACAAAATAAAAGTATAATCATCATAAGAAATCAGTTTTTTTTTTTCAAATAATACAGTTGCGCTTCACATTTATAATAATCTATATGGCGTTTCCCAAACTTATTTACACATGGGAACTACTTTTATAGATTAGAATGTTATGCGAAACACTTTACTCTCGTCCCCCCCTTCGAAAGCAATTCTGCTAGTAACTGTCAAAATACAGTTATTACAAATTCGTTTTATTTTATAATAAGTTAACCATAGAAAAAACACATATTTGCTTTTAATAATTCAACGATATTAAGAGTTTGGATATCACATTATGGAGATGTACGTATGAACCTACCGATTCTTGCACAACTGTTCTGTAGATTAGATGCATACTGGTAGGCTTATGTCTGAGACTGGCACAAAAATAAAGTCGATTTCGGTCCCTTGTGTTTGCTTAAGTTAGTGATGAAAACGCTTTCTCACACACATACGTGAAAGCGAGCTGAATTATGATTTTCAGTATAGCGTATTGAAATCATGTTTTATTTTTTTAATCTTTTTTCAAAATCTAGGACGACCCACAGAGACAAACTTTTCAAGGACCACTTTTAATCCATGGACCACAAAATTAAGAAACACTTACCTGTGCAATTATGAAGAAAATAGTTTTAATTTTTAATAAATTATTCTTGTTTTCTGCTATTTTTATATCAAGAGCCTCAAAAGAAATGAAAAGAGTCCCAAACACTTTATCTGTGAAACATATTATAAATACACTTTTCTACAAAAAAAGAAAAAAAAATTCGAAGCACCAAGAAGGACTTTTGCGATCGTGACGAAATTTGGTATGCAAAAACATCTTGATCGAGCATGCAAATGATCGAAGTTTCAAGGCAAATGAACAGGAATTGCAATCATAGCACGCATTTTAAATTAGCAATACGCAAAGTATAAAACCAGTAACAGAGGCGGAAAATTTTATCTTTTTTTTTGCTGCTGCCATTGTAATTCCGTAAAGAAGCAACTAAAGATGTCATTACGACGCTATCGAATTACGACGCTTACAGACAAATAAACGACTTCGAAGGTGGTCGCATTGTAGAGTTACGTTAAGCAGGGTGGTCATATCGAGCAATAGGCCGCTACCTGCAGCGTACAGACACTGCTGTGCAAAGGTATTGGCAGCAATGGTTGCTACTAGAAAATTGCCGACGAAATGCAGGCTCTGGAAAGCCAAGTACAAGAAATGCGACACAAGATAGGATTATTGTTTGCCAGGCCCGAACCGCCAAAACGGTATCATTGTAGACTATTCAACGCAATACAGCCACGTGGACACCTCCCGTTATACCGTCCCCCATCTCACGACGGGGTTTCGCTCACAAAAGCTTTTAAGACGTTTGCCTTTGACCTCACAACATCAGCGGAGTCGTCTGAAGTGGTCTCACATCGGATCATCATAGTGTTCAGCGATGAATCCCGCTTCACTCTTGAAGCAGATGATCACCGTGTTCGTGTGTGGAGAGGACGGGGCCAGCGGTCCCAATCAGCCTTTGTTTCTTAAACGTATACTGCCATAACCCCTGGTGTGGGGCTCTATTTCATATGACAGCAGGTCATATTTAGTCATCCTACGTACATCTTTAACAACTCAACTATACGTTGATACCATCCTGCTGACGGTTGCATTATGGTACGTCATTCTGGGGGTCATTTTCCAACAAGATAATGCCAGGTCTCAAACCGCTCGCATATCTCTGGACTGCCTCCTTGCGGTTGATACTCTTCCTTGGCCAGCAAGGTCACCAGACATTTCACCAATCGAGCATGTCTGGGGCATGGTAAGCCGCCAGATTCGGGCACCACAAAATATCGCAGATCTGGAGCGACAACTGATGAATGCCCGGCAGAATGTGTTGCAGGATGACATTAGCAACCTCTACTACTCCTTTCCTCGACGAATTTAAACATGCATTGCCGCCAGGGACGGTTTGACCAACTACTAATTTCAACACTCAGTGGGTGACTGTGAGCCGTGAACAGGTATTATGACCCTGATTTTTTAATCATTTTATTATCTGTATATGAGCTATGCGCAAAATCAATTTCATCAAAAAAAAAACATTTCCTTCATGATGCTTCTAATTTTTTTGCAAAAGATTGCATTATTATTAAACGAAATTAATTATTTCAAAGTAATATGTTATTTAAAGATTGAATAACAGTCAATTTAAGTAAATACTTGGTTAATATATTCTGTTGGGAATGTTGGCAGAGAATATTTAAGAAACAGCACATATTTGTAAGAGGAAATTAGTTTATAAACACTTCAAGACATTAATTACGAACACTCTTTAATTAGAAACATTTACAACAACGGATTTCGGGGGTGACATTAATTGGCAGAAATCTTCATTGTGTGGAGCTTTTAACAAATGTTAACTCATCATTTTTTCTCATTTTATCTATTTGGAAAAAGGTATTTTAAAAGACTATTGCTGCGCCGTTTCCCGATGCATTTCTTTGCGAAGAGGTCTTTACTTCTTTAAAAATAACTCGGTGTATTCCATTTAATTATTTTTGGCTTTCACTGTTCGGCGAAATTATACAAGTTATTCTCAGTATCTGAATCTCAATATACAAGTATTATGTGACTCGTATAATGTAATAAGTTATGCAACCTCGTTTTTAGAAGACATCCGAAAAGAGAAAGAAACAGCAAAGCATACTTACACTGCAGATCAGTAGGAGAAGTAAATAGGGTGACTAAAGTTCTATTTTATACTAAATTTTTATTTCTTAATATTGCATTATAAAATGGATTCATCTGCTAAAACATATTTATCTCACCATACGACAGCTCTGAGAATTCGAAACTCAATTAAACCTGTCAGTTTTGTGATTGACAGTCAAAACATCATTTAAATATTAAAAGTTCAATTTCAATAGTTCGATTTATACTTTCGACAAAGAAAAGTACAGTCTTCCCTACGTCACTTCTTCAAATTATAGTGAGTTGTTCAGATATTTGGCAACTGTCGCTCATAATTCGCTGCCATTAAACTAAAAATCAATGAATTTAATATTTAATAAAATATATATTAAATACCAATTTTGATTTATATAGTTATCAAAATATTTATATTTTTATACCAAAATATTTATATTATTTTACCAAAATATTTAGATTATTTTTATCAATTGATATTATAATATTTGTATAATATTGATAATATATAATATTACATATAATATTTGTATAATATTTGACAATAAATAATATTATATGTAATATTTTGATACTTTGATAATATATAATATTGTAGCTACGAAGTAATTTTCATTCCATTTACAAAATTTTCTACATTGGGTTAAATTCTGTAAAAATACAGTTTTAAATTTAATTTCTTCATAAAATGAAGTGACTTGTACTTTTGGAAACGAATTAATATTAATTTACGCTCTTTTTTCACAAGTTAGATTTTAACTTCTTTCATATATCAGAATAGATGTAATGTAATTTCCTTATTTTTATACTGTTATTGTTTAAAAAATTAATGTATCTATTAGCACATTTAATACCATGATTACATTCCCTTAATCTCTCAAGTAAGAAACACTTTTAGCGGTTTTTTTCATTGTTTTCTCGATACGTAACGTAAATACGAACCAGTTTCTCTTAAAACGTCCTCCACAAAGATATCACTCCTCTTAGATAGGCAGCCCTTTTGTGTTTTGCCCTATTCAAATAACCTAACGAAACTAAGAAATATTTGTCCTCAATTTAAATCTCTTAATAAGTAAATTGGATTTACTTTAACAATGCAAATTAAATACATTATATGTAAAAACGCTGGAAGAAAGGTTTTAATGTAATTACTGGAAGAAAAGCTTTAATGTAATAAATTTTAGAAATA